ACATATACATACATATACACACTAGAGGCCTTATGCATAAAATTTGTGCATGGGTAGGGTCCCTAGGCCTGGCCTGTGATCAGGGCCGATATGTGGAGCAACTGGTGGGGCGGTCAGGGCCCCCCCGCCCCCGCTGGCACCCGCCTTGGCTGGCCTGGGGCCTGTGGGCTGTGGGCAGATCCTGCATTGAGTGTCTGCCCCCTGGCGGTCAGTGTGTGTCATAATGACAGGTTGTTCGGCCATTCCATCAATTTGCATATTAGGCTTTTATTATATAGGATTTTATTGATTTTAGAGAGGAAGAAAGGCGGAAGAGAGATAGAAACATCATTGATGAGAGAGAATCATTGATTGGCTGCCTCCTGCATGCCCCACACTGGAGACTGAGCCCACAAACCAGGCAAGGGAATTGAACCCAGGACCCTTCAGTCAGCAGGCCAACGCACTATCCACTGAGCCAATTTAATTCCTCATGAGGACACAGGACTCAGATGCCTCCTCCCTCTCGGTGCTCACTCTTCTGAGCCATATTAGACAGATGTGAGTGGAAATGGGTTTCAACATTACCCAGCTGTGAAACTTCAGACACAGTGACTGCCCTAAGGTTTTGTTTAATTACATAAAGCAATGAGAATATCCATTCCTAACTCATGGGTCATTCGGAGGTCTGAGTTAACATGTAAGGACCCAGGACATCAGCTGATACGTAAAGCCTTTTATAAATATCATTTTCCACCCCTATTTGGACCCATCTTTTGATTTATTTGTAGAGGTTGTTGCCCAAGAGTGAGTAAAACATTCCCGCTTGCCATCATGGCTTCTTCTTGTTCTCCCGTCGTGAGATTTCTGATGGACAGAATTGGGGCATTCCATTCGGAAACATTGCCTGGATTTGACATTTTCGCACATAGTCCTGTGAACAAGGGAAAACAGTATGATTTCCTAGCTTGCTTGCCTCATTCCAAGAATTTCTCTTGAACTTGATCGTCAAGTTCCAACTGGAACCAGAGTTACTGTAACAGCCTATTTCAGAAGTTGCTTTTCCCAAAAAGAAAATGAGTCAAGGAGGTTCATTTTCTCATGACAATCTGGTCTTCAACGAAATGCACTCTGCTCTCAACGACTTCTAATCGTCCTATATTTGAACCCATCTGTGAAAGTTAAAAAAAAACAAACACAATTTTTAAAGACACTTTTTAATTGAAAACAAGAAGTGTGTGCTATCCTGGGAACAGAATGACCTTCAGAGTAACATAGGTGAGGATTTCTCCTGCTGAGGAGCTGTGTTACCTTAGACAATTTCCTTACCCTTTCTGTGTCTGTTTTTCACAACTGGAGAATGAGAGTGATGCTCCCTTTCTCGTTGTGAGGATTAAAAAAGTGATGATGTAAAGGGCCCCCTCGCAGACATGCAGAAAGAAGCACCTCAACAAATGGTTGGGATGGGTATTGAGCATGTGCGAGCCTGGTAATTTCATCAGTGGGTCACCCACACCAACTCTTCTCTGCCCAGAATGATAAGTGTTCATTGCTCTTTGGGTTTTCCAAGAACTGGTAGGGACTTTTCACTGTTTCATTCCAGGGAGGCCTGAGATAGCCGGTGGGAACCTGGAAGTTCCATTCGTAATGGGTATCATTAGTAGACCCTGCTTTAGGTTTTTATCCCTTTTGTTTGTTGGTGTTGTTTTAAGTAAAAAGGAATATTCTCTCCATCAAATACAGGTATTGTGGAGAAATCAAATTTTAGGTCGCACATAATTTCCTTTGACTGCTTCTGTCCTTGCTTATCTGGTCTTTAAAGGTCTTCGTTGGAACATGCCAGAGCACCTGGGAAGTCCCGCTGGGCTGTCCCTCCTTGATGAGCTGCACTGTGAAAGGCAGCAGCAGGTGCTGGTTCTTGTTCCTCTGAGTTTGAGGAGAATTAAACTATTCTCTGAAGAACAATGTACCTTATTGAATTACTGTTTTAATAGTGATTTTGTTGAATATGTCATCATTTCTCAAGACATTTTAATTTTTGTTATCTAGCTCACTTCCTTTTTAATGTTTTTAATTGAATTTATTGGGTGACATTAGTTAATAACATTATATAGGTTTCAGGTATACAGTTCTATACCACATCATCTGTATATTGTATTGTGTGTTCACCACCCCAAGTCAAGTCTCTTTCCATCACCATTTATCCTCCTTTTCCCTCATCTATCACCCCCCAACCCATTTCCCTCTGGTAATCACCATACTATTATCTGTGTCTTTGAGTGTTGTTTTGTTGTTGTTTTTTGTTAATCCCTTCACCTTTTTCACACAGCCCCCCATCCCCTCCCTTTGACAGCTGTCAGTCTGTTCTCTATGAGCCTGTTTCTATTTTGTGTGTTAGTTTATTTTGTTCAGTAGATTCCACATATAAGTGAAATCATGTGGTATGTTTCTTTCTCTGACTGGCTTATTTCACCTAGCATAAGATTCTCCAGGTCAAGTTCTGGAAGCAGCTCAAGTGCCCATCAGTAGACGAGTGGATAAAAAAGCTGTGGTACATTTATACAATGCAATATCACTCGGCCATAGAAAGAGAAGGAAATCTTACATTTTGCAACAACACAGATGAGTCTAGCTCACTTCTTTTTTTAAAAATATATTTTATGGATTTTTTTACAGAGAAGAAGGGAGAGAGATAGAGAGTTAGAAACATCGATGAGAGAGAAACATCGATCAGCCGCCTCCTGCACATCTTCCACTGGGGATGTGCCCGCAACCCAGGTACATGCCCTTGACCTGAATCGAACCTGGGACCTTTCAGTCCACAGGCCGACGCTCTATCCACTGAGCCAAACCAGTTTCGGCCTAGCTCACTTCTTAACATGTCTCTTGGAAAGACAAGCTCTGATGTTGACAAGCATATGCCTATGATGCTCCTTGAGTCCTTCATGTCACTAAGCTGGGATGGCCCCTGAGTATTGGCTTCATTCTAATGAGGTGGCTTTCGGCTGGGGTGGAGTATTCCCAGACTGTGCTAGTGATATAATCGGTGGCTTTCATGAACCATATGTTTGTGCTAATGGCTTTTCTACAGACGGTGATATGCTATTTTAGACTTTTTTTTTCCACACTGGTCTTCCTCCAAAAAATAAATTAAAAGATAAACTAAAAAGATACTTATTTCAGACTCCTGAGAAGAATCCGTAAGTGTCAGCCCTCGACTTTCTTTCTGACATCCCAGCTCCTGAAAGGACCCCAGGATATCTTTTCTGAACAAGGCTTGTCCCTGCGTCTGAACCACTTCTACTTAGGGCGAGAATGTCACCTCAGCCCCCAACCCCAAAGGAATTCTAACTGAGTGGCAGTAAGCCTGAGATGCTGGCTCCGTCACTCCTTAGCTCTTTGAATTTTGGCAAATTACTTCATGTACCTGTGCCTCAGTTTCCTCATCTGTAAAAGGAGAATGATGCTACTTCTTCTAAGAGCTTATTTTGAGGGACAACCTGGGTATTACATGAAAAGTGCCTGACACATAATAATCTCTCATTATTATTATTTTTTCTCTTCTTCCAGGTGGCCTATGTTGCTGAGTCAAAACGCAGGGACTCTGCCCCAAGCCCGTCCCCATTCTTTTACGAAATATGATGACTTGAACGCTGGATCAGACTTCACGGGGCCATCCTGGGCCTCCCCACTGCTTAGTGAATTTGGAAATTTATTTGATCTGCAACTTATGGTTGTAAAAGGACTATCACACCACCACTAGCAGTGTAAAGATTGCATGAGCTAATTCATGTTCAATGTTTAATAAAATCTGTGGGCAATATTGATTTGCAATGATTTCTATCAAAATGCATGTAAACTGAGTGATATATAGAAAAGTTTGACCTGACCGGTTTGTCTCAGTGGTTAGAGCATCAGCCCATGCACCAAAAGGTCATGGGTTCAATTCCAGGTCAAAGGCATGTACTCTGGCACAGGTTGGGGTACGTGCAGGAGGCAATCCATTGATGTGTCTCTCTCACACATCGGGTAAGGATTTTTTTTTAAGTTCATAAACAACAATATGTTGCATCTGCCTTTCAAGAACCCAACCTTTGTGCCCATCTGCGAAAGTTCATTCTTTCATCCCTGTAGCACTCAGCTTGCCAATTTATTCACTAGCCTGCGGTTTGGTTTTGTGCCCGTGTTTTACAGGCCCTGATTCTGGGCACTGAGCCCTCCCCTTGGCTTTGCAGTCTGGAGAGAGTGGGCATCAGCCCCGAGGTTCTTATGGGTTGCCACAGAACATCAGAATTCACCTCCACGCATGAAATACATTGAAATGTGGTAAAGTGGAACTGCTAAATAAATATTCATAGAGCGAAATTTACTCAATGAATGTCTGTGCCAAGTGAATGCGCATACAATAAAACCTCATTGGACAGGTACAGAACTTAACCAGGTTATACAATTCATTAACCAGTGAGTACACTCATCCAGTGACAAATTAATCAGCTTCCCGGGTGTTAAAAATGAATGCGTAAATGGCTTATTATGCTGATCTTTCCTCACTGCAGACTATTCAGATGGGAACATTGACTGCGGAGGGAAGGAAGGGGGTTTCTCCTTTTTCACTGCCTTCATGATACCCGGAGGCCTCAGCAGAGTCTTTCATGTAAATTGCACAGTAGGGAAAGGATACATATTTTTTTGTTTTGCTATTTTTGTGTGTGGTGTGTGGTGTGTGTGTGTGTGTGTGTGTGTGTGTGTGTGTGTGTGTGTGTGTGTGCTTTAGTTTGTTTTTAACATTTCCTAAATGTCAATGACCACATTTCATTTTCATGGGATCCTAGCGGGGACAGGAATCATGAACTCATTTTAATTGGCTTGAACAGGGTCACAGGCCACACATTGCTCAGAGACCAAGGACTTGACCCTGGCTCTGGTTGCTTAGCCTGGCTGTCAGCTTTCACACAGAACAACTGGAACAATGGGAGCAGGCGTGCCTGATGGATGGTAGCCAGACTCAAAACATGAATCTCTTCCACAGGCATCTGCATAGTTCACACACTTGCTGCCCAAACCTGCTTCCTGAGATACCATTCTTGGTATTCTGGACAATTGTATTGTCCTTGTGTCATGAGCAAGACGTTTGTGAGATGCCCACAGCAAAGCACTAATATTAACATGGATTTATCCCACTGGAACCACTGGATGTTAAAGTTAAGGGGAACCCAGAGGCCTTCTCCCTCAATACCAGCTAGAAATAGTTGGGTTGGTTTTCTAGAATAGAAGCAAAGTGAGCACATAAGGAATGCCAAGGTGGCTGTGGATCACAGGCATTCAGAGTATCCATGCCCACTCTCCTCAATTCCTCATATACAAGGAAAAGAAAGTCCTCCCTCCTTTGATTTTTATTGGCCAATTTGAGTGGCTTGAAACAAAAAATACTTTAACAGGTGCCTGAACCTGAAGTAGCAACTGTTATTGGTTGAAGTGTGACAGCCAAATACATGTGTGAAGTCCTAATGCCCAATACTTCAGAATGTGATCTTATTCAGAGATCGGATTTGTTCCCAGGTAATCAGGTTAAAGTAAGGTCATTAGGGCAGACCTTGGTACTATATGACTGGTGACCTCATAAAAAGGGAACATTTGACACAGAGATAGATACAAAAAAGAAGGGAAATGATGTGAAGAGAAAAAGGGAGAAGAGGCCAAATTCATTTGCTAGGTTGTCATAACAAAGCCCTACAGACCAAGTGGCTTAAACAACAGTAATTTATTTCCTCAATGTTCTGGAGGCTAGAAGTCTGAGGTCGCAGTGCCAGCAGGGCTCTTTTCTTTGGATGCCTCTCTCCTTGACTTATAGATGGCTGTCTTCTCCCTATGCCTTCAAATGGTCTTCCCTGTGTGAGCACTAAAAATAATTATCATAAATGCTTCTAAACAGAGCACTTGTATCCATGCTTTAAACATGTTTCATATAAGATGACTCAACAGCTTGCTCTCTCATCTTCCTGTATATGCTCCTGTCTACCCTTCACTCCTCAATCTGAGCGACAGATCATTATCCTGCACTTGTGCTCAGTGTATCCCTGCTAAGTCTAGACCAACTTCTGCACTCCTTACTATGTGCTATAGGTTGAATTGGGTCCTCCCAAATCCATATGTTAAAGTTCGGGTACCTTCGAATGGGACTTTATTTAGGGATAGGATCATTACAGAGGAAACCAAGTTAAAATGAGGCCACTGGGGGAGCCTAACCCAGTATGACTGGAACAAAAGGGAAAATTTGGATTCAGACAAGCATGATGGGAACACTGTGTGACAAGACGTAGGCAGAAGAGGCTGTCTACCAGCCTGGGGGAGGGGCCTGCCATAGATCCTTCCCTCACCGTCCTCAGAGGGAGTCAACCCTGCCAACACCTTGATTTTGGAGTTCTAGACTCCAGACCTGAGTAGGTCCTCAAAGATTTATGCTGTTTAAGCTGCCCAGTTTGAGGTATGTTTTTACAATGGCCCCAGCAAAAAATGAATGCAGCAGGCTCCTGCACCTTGTCTCAATCGGCCCCTACCTGCCCTAATCCAGCCTCGTTCTTGACTCCCCAAACACCAGGTTCATCTCACTGTGAGCATTATCTTGTCTCCAACTGTCAGCCACTCCCAGAATGCTGCTTGCCCTGGAGCAGGCTATTAATAAACCCTTTTGGAATGGATTTTACGTAGATTTCACTTGCAAAGAGCACAGGTTGGAGCAAGGAATCTTCAAGAAACTCATGGAAAGGCCTACTGGCCCTGCCTAGATCACTCATCAGAATGACGTGTGTGCTCATAGGGGCAGAGATAAGGTCATTCTGAATCTTACAAACAATGTCAAGAAACAGCTCTAGGACATGTGATCAACATGGTCTTTGCTGTTTCATTTGCATTTACCATTGGTTCTTTTTTTTAATATATTTTTTTATTGATTTCAGAGAGGAAGGGAGAGGGAGAGAGAGATAGAAACATCAATGATGAAAGACAATCATTGATCGGCTGCCTCCTGCATGCCTCAGACGGGGGATCAAGTCTGCAACCTGGGCATGTGCCCTGACTGGGAATTGAACCATGACCTCCTGGCTCATAGGTCGATGCTCAACCACTGAGCCACTCCAGCCTGGCTACCATTGGTTCTTGATAACTCATCACATAGGAAACATTTGTCAAAGATAATTAAAACAATTATGTTTTATTTTTTAACTAGAGGCCCTGAGCACCAATTTTGTGCATGGGGGGGGGGGTCCTCTCAGCCCAGCCTGCACCCTCTCCAATCTTGGACCCCTCAGGGGATGTCCAACTGCCGGTTTAAGTCCGGGGATTGGGCCTGAACCGGCAGTTAGACATCCTTCTCACAATCCGGGACCACTGGCTCCTAACTGCTCACCTGCCTGCCTGTCTGACCTCCCCTAACTGCCCCC